TATGCAAAGAAGGGTATCATGTTATCTGGACTGGAGAAAGGATGAGAAATGGCACCAAAGATAAAATCGACCGGAATATACTTTATTTCAGATTATTAATACTTTCATAATCATTAATAACTGTTAATAAAAATATCAACTCTATATTCATGAGATGGTCTTTCTGTATTTTTATAGCCTTAATTTGTTACGTTATAAGACAGTGTAGAAAATATGTGTCCCTAAATGTTTTGCTGTTCGAACCACATGGAGAAATGAAGTCTATAACTATAAGATACTTAAAAAAGAACAGAATGTTATGAATGGTACCTAAGCAACATCTGGAGGACTATACCGTCCAATCCAGATATAAATGTTTGTGTGATGTTCTCCATATAAGCATTTATTTATTCTGTTAACCCATGGTTGCCCCCACTGTGTAACTCAGGGTAGTTATACAAACGAACAAACAACAAATAATCTTTTCTTTAAATTTGATTCTTGCTGTGGGAGGTCGCTTGTGCTACTCATTCTGCTCTTTTCTTATCTTCATGAATCAGTGAGGCATCCAAATGGTCTCATCTCAACAGTTATTTTCCCCCCGGAGAGGGGACAGGTACTAAGGAAATAGTTATTGATCGGCATTAGCAATCAAGATGTATCAATTTCCAGCTGTAAATACAGATAGTCCTTGACTTATGACCACAATTGAGCCCAGAATTGAGCTGCAGCATCCTTGCAATTGGTCATAAGGGTGGGCAGATTGCCAAGTGCCCAGATTTTGTTCATGTGACCGCAGGGTGTTGCAATAATTGTAACTTTGGGAAGAGATCATAATTTCGAACAGTCACTTAACGTATGGTCATAAGTCAAGGACTATCTGTATTTACAGCTGGAAATTGATACATCTTGATTTCTAATGCCAATCAATAACTATTTCCTTAGTACCTGTCCCCTCTCCGGGGGAAAAATAACTGTTGAGATATTGAGATACTACCTGCAGTGGTAAAATTATAGCACCTAGTTTCAAAGCCAACATTAGCTAATAATGCTTAGTGGACCAATATTGAAAACTGAGGCAATATGGCAGATGAAAAGTGTGGTTTTAAAACCAATTTGCAGCTGTATTCCAAGACAACTGTGTTCCTGCCAGGTCTTCTGATGCAATGCAATGATACAGTAGACAGATCCATTGATTGCTTTAGTGTGCTTTGCCAACAGCTGCTGTGTATAAATCATATGACTTCCCGAGAAAGACTGAATACCAGCTTTGATTTACACTTTGAGAATATAACATTTTTGAGATACCCAGCTACAAATTTTAGATAGCAGAAGAGAGCCAGAGAACACATACAAGCAACTATTTCTTTCCAAGATAATTATTCCAATGTTTTCCTAGAAAAAATGGGCTTCATATTATATAGATAGCACAATTTTGCTCTTTCAGAATTTGCATCTTATATATGTTGATATCAGTGGTGGGTTTCAAAAATTGTTCGAACCTACTCTGTGGGTGTGGCCTCCTTTGTGGGAGTGGCTTGCCACCCATGTGACCAGATGGGAGT